TTTCCATTCTACGTAATAAAATGAAATATAATAAAATCATTTTGCTAGTATGTATAATAAAATTATTATTTTATAATGTTTTATTTTGATTTTTGTATTATTTCCATTCTACGTAATAAAAATAAAACAATAAAAAAATTATGTTAGTATGTATAACAAAATAATTATGTTCAGTATAATTAGTAGCATGCTCACGCTACCAACTACGCTGATCACTCCGTAGCATCGCGAGGGTCCTAGTGAAGTTGGTAGCGTGCAAGTTGTGTGTGTTAGCGAGCTCTGTGTTGAATAAATGTCAAAATAATATTCGCCTGTGGAGGATGCGGGCATCGAACTCGCCACCTCTCTCAAGGTCCCCTCGAAGGATGTGAGAGTCACGTGGGGTCTGTGGTGCAATGGATAGCGCGGCTGCCTGCGGATAAGACGGTTGTAGGTTCGATTCCTGCCAGGCTCGATATGTATATTGTTTATAGGTATTTTTATTTCTCGTCACATCTCTAACGTCTTAAAGGGGCTTTAAAACAGCAAAATTGAGGGCGACGAGACGTCAAGCTGGTTCACCAATGTGAACATGTCACCAACAATAACGATGGATGTTACATTTATAATTTGATTTTTTAAAAATCCTCGTGGAGGAGGCTGGCATCGATCCGGCGACCTAAAGATCGGAGAACTCAACGTACTTAGTGGCGTGCTCACACTACCAGGTACGCTGATGTCTCCGTAGCATCGAGAGGGTCCTAGTCTCGTTGGTAGCGTGCAAGCTGTGTGTGTCATCTTCTTGGTTCTTTCGGTAAAGTCACGTAGAATGGAATAATAAAAATAAAAATAAAACATAATAAAATAATTATTTTATTATACATAATAAATAATTATACATAATACATAATAAAATAATAAAAATTATTTTATTATGTATAATGATTATTTTATTATGTATAATAATTATTTTATTATGCATAATATAATAATTATTTTATTATGTTTTATTTTTATTATTGGCTCAGATGGTAGCGCGCTCGAGAAAAGAGAAGTGAACACATCTCAAATGCACGTCCAGTACAAGGATAGACGGTGTGAAATGTCTTACTAACAACACAGAGCTCGCTAACACACACAACTGACACGCTAGTCACTACACTAGGACCCTCGCGATGCTACGAAGAGTTGAGTGTAGTTGGTAGCGTGAGCACGCCACTAAAACACTAAACTCTTCGATGTTTAGATCGCCGGATCGATTCCTGCATCATCCACGAGGAATATTTTTTTAAATCAATTGTTTAATGTAACGTCCATCGTTCACATTGGTGAACCAGCTTGACCTCTTGTCGTCCTCGATGTTGCTGTTTTGAAGCCCCTGTTAAGACGTTAGAGATGTGACAACAACAACACAAGACAACTTAGATTAAGGCCATCAGTCTAACTCTGTACTACAACAAACATGGCTAAACCAATACACTTTTCGAAATCACCAAAATAAAGCCATGAAAGCAAAAATGTCGATCAACAATGTTTCTTTAATAAACAGCAAATCCCAATCAAGCGGTCAGTGCCTTGCCCAATGGACTCATTAATGTGTAACGTTTTCTATTTGAATAAATGTAAAATAAGAACAACCCGTAAAAACAAAGTTTTTCACTCTAAATCCTTTATATGCGTGGCGGCTAGAGTCCTCTCGTCCTCTGGCTTGAGATGGCTGCCACCTATGGGTCAGATGATTGCATTGCACCATTAAGCAATTGGTAATAAAATATTTATGTTTTCCCTAAACAGTGTAAAATTTTTAGAATTTTTTTTTCACGAACATTAATTGTCTCGCACAACGAGTCTGTGTGCAAAATGTCAGCTCGATTGGATCACGGGAAGTGGGTTAAAAAACGAGCGAAAGATTTGCACGGTCCTAAGCAAGCAAGCGAACTTAATATAAAGGATTTAAGAATATATTCGCCTGTGGAGGACGCGGGGATCGATCCCGCGACCTCTCGCATGGGAAGCGAGACTGCGCCACTCGCCCAGCGCGTGAAGGTGTCACGCGCTGGGCTCCTACACGGTGACGTTTAGCCACATCCATGATGAGTTCCAGATTTGAAGCTTTCGTGACTGCAATGATTCATATTCTTAGGCTTTTTCGGTAAAGTCACTTATTAAATTGTAGATTTGAAGCTTTCGTGACTGCAATGATTCATACTCTTAGGCTCTTTTCGGTAAAGTCGTTTATTAAATTGTGGATTTGAAGCTTTCGTGACTGCAATGATTCATACTCTTAAGCTTTTTCGGAAAAAGTCGCTTATTAAATTGTAGATTTGAAGCTTTCGTGACTGCAATGATTCATACTCTAAGGCTTTTTCGGTAAAGTCACTTATTAAATTGTAGATTTGAAGCTTTCGTGACTGCAATGATTCATACTCTTAGGCTTTTTCGGTAAAGTCACTTATTAAATTGTAGATTTGAAGCTTTCGTGACTGCAATGATTCATACTCTTAGGCTGTTTCGGTCAAGTCACTTATTAAATTGTAGATTTGAAGCTTTCGTGACTGCAATGATTCATACTCTTAGGCTTTTTCGGTCAAGTCGCTTATTAAATTGTGGATTTGAAGCTTTCGTGACTGCAATGATTCATACTCTTAGTTTTTTTCGGTAAAGTCATTTATTAAAGCAAAAAACCCACGACGTTTCGATCGCCACACATTAAATAATATTAATGACGTCAGTTAGAGTCGCCACTCGTTGTGGGGGCTGTTGCTGGTACCCCGGGAGTGACGTCATGTCACCTGCTGCCGCGTGACGTCACAGGCTGCAGCTTCGCGCGTGCAGTGAAATCCGAGGTGAGAAATTCTCATCGTTGTGGTTGTTGTTGTTGTGGTTGTTGTTGTTGTTGTGGTTGTTGTTGTTTACCAAGGTAGAGCCTCGCTCTCTCTCTCTCGTAGGGATGTCACTAGAGCAGCTTGTGAATCGATGTCCAAGTTGGAACTTTACAACGCGGGGCCTAGACACGCGGGGCCTTGCCTCCTGCCCTCGCCTGGTCGCGTTTGCTTTAATTCCCTCCCTTAAGTTTCATTTGTCTTCACGCGGCTCGCTACTTTGTCACTTTGGTTTATTGTAGATATTAACGCAGTTTTTTTTTTCGTTTTTTTACCAGCCCAAGCCCGCCTGAGCTGCTGTACCGCTCTTGTTTACAGAAGCTACCTGCCCACAACACAAGGTGGGTGGGGTTTTGTCAACGCGTGTGTCAATGTTTTGACTTAAAACTTTCGTAACTGCAACAATTCATATTCTTGGTTCTTTCGGTAAAGTCACGGAGATAGAAAATAAAATAACAGATCCAAATTTTTAATTAAATAAAAATTTGGAAATAAAACAAAAAAACCCACGACGTTTTGACCGCAACACAAGTGGTCTTTGTTTATTTCCATGATCTGTTATTTGTATTTGCTATCTACGTGACTTTAGAACCAAGACTACGTGTGTCAATGTCTGTCAAACACGCTGAGCGCGTGCTCATGTTGACTCTAAATGTGGAGGAGACAACCCCTGCTGCTGTTAACCATGGCAGTGTGTGTGTGCCAGAGTCAAGTCTGTTCACTCTGTTGAACACGCACGTTATATCAAAACAATATCATATCTTCTGGATTCTTTCGGTAAAGTCACGTAGAAGGGAAATAATAAAATAATACAAATAAAACATTAAATAATTCTCACGACGTTTCGGCCACAACGCAAGCAGCCGTCCTCAGGTGAAAACCAGGTCTGACAGACCTGGTTTTCTGACAGACCTGGTTTTTACCTGAGGACGGCTGCTTGCGTTGTGGCCGAAACGTCGTGAGAATTATTTTATTATGTTTTATTTTTTATTATTTTATTACTTCCCTTCTACGTGACTTTACCGACAGAACCAAGAAGATCTATTAACTCTATTGAACACGGAGGTTATATCACAACAATAGTTTGTTTTTGGTTTCCTCTGGAACTCTTTATAAGAATGGAAAAGTCAAGAAGTTGACACAGCACACACGTGCAGCAGCTGAAGTCAGATCTGCTCATCTCAGCATTCAGGACATCGTGAGCCTGGCTGGCTTCACACCTCTAAGTTGCGATTGAACATTAATTTATGCATTTCTGCATAACACAAATAGTATTATTTTCAACACCCTTTGCTATGTCAGCTGAATTTAGCTTTCAAAATATTCCTTTTGTAGCCAGACAGCCGATATTGTGTGCTCGGAGTTTTGGGTTAACATTCATTTTGAAGATACAAGGGCTTCCAGGCATGTTTGTGACCATTCACCCTCTCATTGTGTGCCATAACAGCCCGTGTGATGAATTTGGTGAACTTTTTCACTACATCATGAATATATGAATAAGTATAGACGTGTAAGTCACGTGTGACTGTGTATATGCATTACTCTGTGTCTGACGTGTAGGTGGTGTGGATATAATTTTTTTCTGTCTGCAGCTGTCGCTTGGTCTGATGGAGCAAAGGCACTCAGCACAGCTCGGTACGGCAAGGCAACAATGCGACCAGCGTGGATACAGCACGGAGCGGACTGGAAATTTGACACAGCACCAGAGAACACACACAGGAGAGAAACCCTTCAAGTGCACTGTGTGTGGGAAGGCATTTGCATGGCAATCTGCTCTTAAAAGACACCAGAGAACACACACGGGAGAGAAACCCTTCAAGTGCAGTGTGTGTGACGAGGTATTTGCACAGTCATATAATCTTAAGACACACCAGATAACACACAGGGAGAGAAAGCTTTCAAGTGCACTGTGTGTGGGAAGGCGTTTGCACATTCATCTGTTCTTAAAAGACACCAGAGAACACACACGGGAGAGAAACCCTTCAAGTGTACTCTGTGTGGGAAGGTGTTTTCTGTTTTACATCATCTCGTAATACACCAGAGAACACACACGGGAGAGAAACCCTTCAAGTGCAGTGTGTGTGGGAAGGCATTTGCACAGTCATCTACTCTTGTAACACACCAGAGAACACACACAGGAGAGAAACCCTTCAAGTGCAGTGTCTGTGGGAAGGCGTTTGCAGAGTCATCTTCTCTTGTAAAACACCAGAGAACACACACGGGAGAGAAACCCTTCAAGTGCAGTGTGTGTGGGAAGGCATTTGCACAGTCATCTGCTCTTGTAACACACAAGAGAACACACACGGGAGAGAAACCCTTCAAGTGCAGTGTGTGTGGGAAGGCGTTTGCAGAGTCATCTTCTCTTGTAAAACACCAGAGAACACACACGGGAGAGAAACCCTTCAAGTGCAGTGTGTGTGGGAAGGCATTTGCACAGTCATCTCTTGTAAAACACCAGAGAACACACACGGGAGAGAAACCCTTCAGGTGCACTCCATTTGGGAAGGCATTTGCATGTTCACCAAATTTTCATGTACACCAGAGATCACGCAAGCATCAGAAGGTCCACCAGGAGTGGAGTCTGAAATCAGCTTGTGCAAGTCAAAGTGCTGCAATGAGCCCATCTGTCATCAAACAAGAACTGGAAGAAAATCCCAGCTTGGACACTTTTAAAGGTAACGAGGTGAAATATGAAGAGGTGAAGGTGAAATGTGAAGAAGTGATGGTGAAGAGCGAAGAAGTGAAGGTAAAATGTGAAGATGAAGATTCAACTCCAAAATGTGACCTTCACATCGATGGAGGCAACGTGAAGCAGGAGGAGAATTCTGACTGTGAGGCAGAGCGAGGCAACTCCCAGCAGCAGTTTGTGGAAGTGGAGGTGTGGGTGGACTTCCTCCGAGACAATACAAAGTCAAATGGAGACCCGGTAGATGTATAAGCCAGTGACGATGCCGCTCCAATAGATGCACCCTTGTCACAGGCCTTTAATGACAAGAATGTGAAGTTGAACACCCAATTCCTAGATTCAACCTGCAGGGTAAGAGCGGCCAGTCTTTGTGGACCTGTGTGTTGGGTAGATCTCTAACCAGGAGCGAGAGCCAATAAGCTCCCAAGCATTCACTCTGTTCTCATCATAATTGCATTTATATGGTGCTTGCTTAATCGCCTCTGCAACTCTGAGTTTTGCATCGTATCTCGTCTCAAACACTCGAAACATCCCCAAGTGGCAGCTGCCCCTGTGTGGCACAAGGTGGTGGCCCTGCACCGTCCTGCGTGTGGACAAGAGCCTGTCTGGGGGGCGATGGTTGATGTGGCATCTCAGTTGTGGAGTTTGTAGGTAATGTTTAGAATTTGCTACATTTTTACCCAGATGCCAGCATGCAATGGCCGACTCGTTTTGAATGGTGCATTAGTATGTTGTACATACACTGTTAAGCAGACGGTGCGTATTTTTAAATTAGCTTCTTGTTAATAGGATGTAAACTAATAAAGCATATTTCAGTGCAGTCATTCAATTTTGTTCTTATGCCTGTCAATAATTTAGACTGAATACTTGTCTGATGGTGTGCGTACATGTAACCTTTTGTCTATAAGGGTCAAACATTGAATAAGTGATGTTATGACACAGTGTGTGTTTTGCAAGTAACCTGTACAGATAACTCAGGTGAGACTCATTGTGCTTGTGATACAGGTCAAAGGGTATTTTTGTGTTTTCAGGAAACATCTCCCTCTGGAGCAGCAACTCATTGTCTTTGAAATAGCGAGCACGCTCGGATCATT